CGTACTGTTTGGGAGGCGAAGCGGTGGGGGGGAGATGTTCATGTTGCTGCAGTCTGCAGTCTGACCGCTAGATGTCGCTAAAAGTTACACACTGTAGCTTTAAGTAACAGATTCTAATAAAAAAACAAAACCTTTTTTTTGGAAAAAAACGAACATCTGTAATGGAACCAGATATACTGGGACAGCGATGTTGCAGTCACTTCGAAAGCTGAGAGGTGCGTTCAGTATTCATGCTTCTGCTCGTCTGTTTGTTCTGCCTCAGGTGGTTTACATCACGGCCACGTTCCCATTCGTCATGCTTATCGTCCTGTTGATCCGTGGCGTAACTCTGCCAGGTGCTTCTCAGGGCATCAAGTTCTACCTGTACCCTGACCTTGAACGCCTCAAAGACCCAGAGGTAGGTTCTGCCCTTTGTTTTATGAATGCCTCTTTACTAATTTACTGAGAACTTCCTAGTTGGACGACGCATGTTCTGTGTTTTATTCTGGGTTCAACTGAATGTCAATGAAGTTTTTTCAGAGAAATTTAGATACTAGGATATTTTAATCAACTAAAGTTATTAAAATTTTTCATTATTGGAGTTATAACCCGGTATTTTATAGATGCAATCCTTGTGAAATAATCATAAAATTCTTGTTTAATGAAGAAGTATGCTGGTGAAGATTCTCAGTCATTCCAAAAAAGTTAAACAATCCACTGGACTTTGATTCCAAGTTTGAAGCTGTTTCGCTTCCCATCCAGGAAGCTTTTTCCAATTCAAAACGATTTTTCAATTCAAAATTTTGAATTGAGCAGAAAAGCCAAACAGCAGCATGTAGTTAGCAGGCGGCTCCTTATCAGCAGGCCTCAGCCTCTCCGTCCCTCTCTCCTTAAACGGCAGGTGTGGATCGACGCCGGCACTCAAATATTCTTCTCTTACGCCATCTGTTTGGGCGCCATGACGTCTTTGGGGAGCTACAACAAGTACAAATACAACTGCTACAGGTGAGTCGTCAGTTTTCAGGGGGAGGGTGGGGTGTGGTGTGGTAGGGGAGAGAGTGGGTGTGGGGGAGGGGGGTGTCACGGGATCCTTGTGTGTTCATTAACAAATCCTCCTCATGACATATGTGTGACATAGGGACTGTTTGCTGCTGGGAGCCCTCAACAGTGGTACCAGTTTTGTGTCTGGCTTCGCAATATTTTCCGTCCTGGGCTTCATGGCACAAGAGCAAGGGGTGGACATTGCTGAGGTGGCAGAGTCAGGTACGAGGGTTCTGTAAAGGCGGCAGTGATGGTGGGCGCTGCTTCCTGGTTAATTAATTAAATAACAGTGATTTCCAAAGAAAAACAGCAACGAAACCCAAAAGAGAATTAGCGTTTGCGCTCATTTTCGAACTTGAGTGCCAATTTAGCAATCTAAGGGGTTCCCTGATTAAAACACAAATGACGGCATCGGAATATGGAAGCTTCCGCAATCAAACACTTCTTGACAAAAGCAGAGTTTTTTTAAAAGATGAGAACCTATTTGGTCGGTTTGTTCGCGCTCCTTTAACCATGCGAGCTGACGCAGAGGGAAAGATAAAGTTCTGCTGGATCTTTTGTTGTTTTTTTTTTTTTTGTGTTTTTTTTTTGAGGAAAGCTGCTTTGGGATAGTTTACAGCACGTCTTGTGCCAATGCCATGCTTTACCAGCCGAGGTTTGGTTCCCCTTTCCATATGTTTGGTGTTCAGCAGCCTGAGGCCTGTGGTGTTCGGGGTGGTTTCTATGGATACGTTCACACAGTAGCCTTAAGTGACCCAAATCCAATTTTTTTTATTTTTGCCCATATGCGACATGTATCTGATCTTTTCATGACAGTCTGAACAACTCGGATCAGATTTTTTCCATTGCGATCCAGGCCACTTGGCCATGTGGTCCTCAATCCGATACAAATCTATTTTTAAATGCGACCTGTGGCTAAACAGCCAGGTCGCATTTATCCGACCTGTACGCCATTAATACCCGACAAAGGTCACTATTTTGCATCTTGCTACGCAGAAGCGGGAAAAAAAACAAAACAACACCCATGGCGGACGATAATGCGGAAAGTGTATTGATGTTTAACTGTATTGAAAAGATTGTGTTTTTAAGGTTGGGAAATATCGCTAGATGCGCGCCATGTTTACTTCCGTTACCACAGGACACGTTTGCTCTACTGCACATGCGGGACTTGCGTTGTATGAATGCAGTCCACACAGGAGATCACATAAAAGTCGCATATATTTGGCAATGTGAAAGGCAAAGCAAGAAAATCTGATTTCTTAAAAAAAATCGGAATTGAGCATTAAAGTCCTAGAGAAATCATATGTAAATATCAAATCATTATGGCTCAAACATTTATATAAATGTACTCTTTAGATGATATTCACCCAAAATCTAGAAAATATCTGTTTAAAAAACACCTAAATTCAATCAAATCTTGATTCATATGTTGCAGCTAATAATGATAATGGCAGCTAAATAAAAAATGGATGACGGAGGAGACTCGTCCACGACATTCCGACACTAAACTCTCCTCCTCTTGCATGTTTCCGCTGTCCATAGCGTTCCTTGACAGCGTCGTTTCTAAGTCACCAATTTAGTGCTACTTGGTCCCAATGGAATTTCCAATTGGGACCAAGTAGCAATTGTTGTGGCAATATTTCCCGCCACAACAATTCTTCCCGCTTGATAAATGACCAATCATTCACTTTATTCACTCGTGTAAAGTCGTGCACAACTCGGAAGAATTCGGAAATGCAACGGTTGGAACGTCCGTTTCCCTGCGACTTTAAGGTTGGGAAAGATCGCTGGATGCGCTCCAGGACTACCATCCATGTTTTCTTCCGTTAACACGGAGAACATTTGCTTGTGATGTCACTACGTTCTCTACTGCACATGCGGGACACTTGCGTATCAATTCAGTTCAGACAGCAGATCACATACACCTCGCATATATTTGGAAATGTGAAACGCAACGCAAAAAAATCGAATTTCCCCCCCAAAAAATCGGAATTGAGCCTTAAGGGCCTGCAGTGTGAACGTAGCCTATGATTGGAGCTGTTGTAGGGTGACCAGCTTTATCCTTTTGCCAGTGGATTGGGGTCATGTAGCCTAACAACGAAGCTAATTAGTGAAAACTAGAACCCCAGATTACTGTGGACGTTTGGTCTCTTTGTCTGAAAGAATCACGCAAGGATTTCATTTTATTATCTACTTCTGAAGACAAGGGTAGAACCCTGATGTTTCATGACTTATTCTGTGAATCGACAATGTCAAAAAAGGTCTTAAAAACGTCAATAGAGACGGACGACTACTTTGTTTGCAGGAATTTGTTGTGCTGTTTTCTTTCAAATGCTCCCTACTTTGATTATTTAAACCTCCTTGGTGGCACGCTGTTTAAGAAGGAAACATTCACGACTTCATAGAAAGTCTTTTTCTTCATCAACAGGTTTTTAAAGCGACACACAAAGTCTCAAGATAAGCCAATAAATTTAGCTTAGCAACGCTTTCTCAGTTACGCAGCCAGTCAATGCTAACGTTGGGCAGTTCTGTAACGCTAACCTGCGTTAGCGTTGGCGAGTTAGCTGTGAGGTGTTTGTGAGACAGGCACAGATCCACAGATTTTTACTGAGAACAAGGAGCTAAACAATGTAGCCACCAAAACAGAACAGACTTCAGGAAGGAAAGTTTGAAGCTAAAAGTTAGCATCAAGTGTTCAGAACAAACAACATGTAGCAGCTAGATTTTGAAGTCCCAACGGCATTAGCTTAGCATAATTGTTTAATTAGCTTTAGTTTATTTAGCTCATGATTGAAAGGAAAATGAAAGCTTCTAAATATCTTAACACATCAGCAACACTATTCTTAGTGTGATGCTTTAGAGCTCTGGGAGCGTTTTTCCTCTTAGGGCCGGGGAGTTTTCAGTCAACGTGGTGTTTGGTTGGATGCCTTGTCATAATTTGCTACCAAATGGAACATCTTGATATGCCCAACTATCAGCTGTGATGCTGTTCTGCTGTTCTGGCTGCTTCCTTGTTCCTCACTGCAAAAACTGATTTCAAAGGAAGAAAGATTTCTCTAATCGGTGTATTTTCCCTTAATTTGAGCAGGTAAATAAGCTGATCTGCCAGTGGAAGGATGATCTTGGGCTTAAAGAGGATTAAATTATGGTCTTGAAGGGAGATCATAGAGAATATGGCGTTCCGGGCATACACTGTACGAATTTTTTCAATCATTGGACGCAGCTACAGATCACACTGTATGACGAAACTGCAGGGTTTAAAACAGGGTTTCAGCCGGTCATTAAATTATCACTTTTTAAATTTAGGCCTGAATTGGCATTGGAATTCATTAAGTCTCATTATTGTGGCATTTAAAATTCTTTATAAAAAAAAAAAAAGGTTTATAAAAACAATTTTGTCAGATATATCACAATATATTTGCATGGAACTGCTTCCGGTTGATCTTAAAGCCGTATGTTCAGAAAAGAAGCTCGACGCGGAGAAGAAGCTAGAGAATGAGGAAAATGCTAATTGCAACAAAAGTAGCTGGAGACATGGCTACAGCCTGTCGACGGCAAAGATGAAGGATTCTGCCGTGTATATATGAGAGTCATGGGTACTTGTTGTTCACATTGAAATTATTCCTGAGAACATTAAAAGAACATTAAAAAGCATTAAGTTAGTTACAAATTCTTTCAACCCTGTAAAAAAGCTCACACGGTGATACCCAACACCAAGATGCTACGACCAAAAACCACTCGGCTCCGCAGCTACTCATATCTTGGTTTATTGTTGGATTTTTAATGTCACGTCGCTGGCTGTGCTCAATGGGATAAAATGCTAAACTGATGCTACCAAAGTTTGCACTGCATGTACACTACACAAAGCACGATCAGGCTGAAAGTTGGCCCGATCGAACAAAAATTCTCGTTCGGCTGGAAAATCGTAACCTGACTCCGCCAGATGGATTTGCTCCGCATATCCATCTGGAAACCTTCCGTTGATGTAATTTTGGGAAGGGGCGAA